CTAAACCCCATTATTGCTACACCTCGGAAATTCTATTGGCCAGCACTAAACTTTTTGTCCCGGGCACAAAGTGGGACGCATTAAACAAGTGTTTAGTGCCCGGAACCAAAAATTTTTCTCAGTGTTCTTCGTTTTTTACCTCCTATTCATTTTATAAAGAGTACATAACAATAAGTCTTAGAAAAACCTTGCACAGAAATGTCTCAACTCGGTCTCAACAGTTAAGCTTTGGTAGAACAGAAGGCTATTGTCTTGAAAGGGTCAGAAGAGCAGGATGGCTCGTGGTACCCTCAAAAGGGCAATCACTTTCGGGAAAAACAAAGACTGGTGACGATATGCCGATCGATAAAATTTTACATTTTAAGATCTTTTTCTTATTTATGCAAATGTTATACGCAAACCGCGTTGCGGGCACTGCTGATGGCCTTCTTGTCGAGCTTGCTGAACTGGCTCAGGACGACCGCGTCGAACCAGGTCTTGGACTTGGACTTGTTGTCGTACTTGTTGAGGAGACAGTTGGCGCCCAAGTACTTCTTGCACTGCGAAGCACCATTGGCGTCGTTGACCATTGCAAGATGGCCACCCTTAGCCTGGATGTTGATGGGCTGTAACAACGAAAAGTGAAAAATCTTGTGAAATTTTCTGCGCAATTATTGTTTAGGTACTTAAATCGTATAAAGTGTTGCTTACGTGGGTGAAGGCAGTCCACTTGTTGCCCTCACTGAGAATGTAAGAGCCGGTCCTGGGCTCGATTCCTCCGTGGTTGTTGTTGTCCATGGAGTTGCCAACAAGGTGGACGTAGTTCTGAACACAGAGCCGGTTAGTGACGTTGATCGAGCTTTGCTCAAGACACGGGCACCTGCGGCCGGCGGGGTAGGCGTCCGCACGACGCAGCGGTGCGTTGCGCGGTGGCCTACCCCGCTCTCCACAGGCGCTCCGCTGCGCTCCACTGCGCTCCCCGCTCCGTCCTTACCAGGGACTTGCTCCAGCCGCCGGCGTGGGGGGTCCTGCCTGCGGTGTTGACGACGTGGTTGTTGATGAGGGTGATCTCGTCGTGGGTGCCCCAGAACAGCCAGATCCAATATTGCTTGCCGTCGCAGTACGCTGAGCTTGGCGAGGTGCCGTCAAAGTAGCAGGAGGACACGGTGATGCCCTTGTTGGTCTTCTGGAAGCTCACCAGGTGCTGACGCCCGATGCGCTGCGCAAAGCACCGGGTTGAGGCAACACTGGGGCCAACCGGAAGTGCATGCCAACGTGTTGCGTACTCACCGCGATGGTGCACTTGTGCACCCAGACGTTCTCCACGTTGTCGAAGGAGAGCGCGTCACCGGCCCAAATGACATGAGGGTTGATGTCGCTGATGGTGATGCCCTGGATGATAACGTTCTTGGCGTTTTTAATCCGGAGCCCCTTGCCCTTGATGGCGCCCTTTCCGTTTGAGCTGATGATGGACTTGTTGGAACCGACAATGAGCTCGGTCAGGCCAGCCTTGTAGTACGTGACCTAAAGCAACGACAGGCTCTGTTAGACGGCTTCTGTCCTGTAAGTGCTAGTAGTACATACTCCAGCCGCAGCGTACCTTGGTGGGCGACCTGCCGTTGCACGTGCCGGCGTGCGCCAGCGACTCCTGGAAGCCGGAGCCGCACTTCTGGAAGAAGCAGCCGGTGCTCACGGC